ACACACACACACTCACACACACACACGATGCGCAAAACTCCGCATTTGAACAGTCAATAGCAAATACTTAAACTAATAACAAAACAGTAGCTGATTCAGAAGCACCAGATTGTCATAGTAAAGTCAGAATGACCTCTTCTCCTAGGTTCACGAAACGGTTGTCCATAAAATGCACTGCTGTTCTGTTGTAAGTAATCTTAAAGATTCCTAAATGCATCTACTTCTGGAAGGCCAAATAAAGTGCTTTTGCTGTCGCCTAGAAACACACAGCGTCTCCCTGACATGCTGCTTCAACACTAACTGCGGTTACTGAAACCACGCCTTCTTTCTTTGCGTGCACATTTGGGCGGCATTATGCAAATATTTCCACATAGTGAGGTAGATTTGTGGGGGCGTGTTAGAACGAGCCGTTTTAGGGGGGCGTGGCAGAGTCTTAACTTTGATAAAGAATATCTCTTTGGTTTTGAGACTTTAGTCTTTGCAACTTCAGGGATCTTATCTATGCACAATCAGCTTGTAACACTCCAAAGAGAAAGGAAAACTTGAAATCGCATCATATGACCACTTTAAAGCCTGTGCAGACCTCTAGTGTGATCCTGCTGATGTAGAACACGCATGTGCTGATGTAGTAAACGCATTGTTTACAAGCAGAGGAATGCACACGCATACGTCATGTTACACTCGTGAAAGGTGGCGGACGCTGACAAGGAAGAGAAGAATTGTTGAATAAAGTAGTCATTTATGTTTTCTTTGCACAAAAAAAGTACTCATAACTTCATAACATTATGGTTGAAGCACTGCTGTCACATGGACTATTTTAATGATGTCCTTACTACCTTTCTGGGAATGTTTCAGTTGTATTGCTGTCTATGGAGGGCCAGAAAGCTCTCAGATTTCATCAAAAATATCTTAATTTGTGTTCTGAAGATGAACGAAGGTTTTTGGCATTTTTGAGTGAACTAGCCCTTAGTGTTGCTTTCGTCAACGTCAAAATTATGACTAAATATTGTCGTCAACGAACCTTTATCACGTGATGAAAACGAGACGAGACGCAAATTAAATGCTGGTCATGTGACGATGACGATAATTAAATGTATAATGCAATATTGTTGACAAATAAAAACGAGACTAAATGTGGTTTACAAAATAAAAACTATGCTAAAATGTATCTTCCTTTTCGTTGACCAAAACGAGACGAAACTAAATGTTATAACGATATTTCGTCATGTTTAGTCGCGTTATTATTATTATTTTGCAGTATTTCTCACTTCAGGGGCTGCATCAGGTCACTTCCTCAAGCCCCACTTGCGGCATTATTTAGAAGACGAAAACCAAACAAAGTTAAGTCTGACACAGAGAAAGGGACCGATGGCCGGCCAGCCGGGGTTCGTCTTTATTTAAATTTATGTGTGTGTACTTCTAACATGTTTGGTTGGTAAAATAAATGTTGTAAATTCAAATCAGAGAGTCTTCCGTGTCTGGAATAGATGTATTCTTGCGTCTATAAGGCAGTGGTTCTCAACCCGCGGCCCGTCACAAATTCAAATGCGGCCCACCATGCTGAACACAATTTAAAGAAATTACTTTCAGTTTTACAATTCATTTGAGTTTTTACATTAATTTAAAAATGTACTAAATAAATAAGCTATAGCCTAATGTTTATATGTAAAATAATTTTGTTTTTCATATATTATTTTAAGACATGAGCAGTAGCCTACTCACATAGCCCAATTAACGTTACGCATTTAAAGTAACGACCAAGTGGCCAGCGGCAGACAGTGAGCCTATGTTTGATCAATTTAGCCTTCTCAAATCATCACGACTTGCCTAAAATAAAATCTATAGATATAAAACAGTTCAAGCATATAACAATGTTTTAACGTTAAACCTAGATAAATGTGCGCTATATCCAATAGTTTGTGCGGAGAGTGGAAGCTGAAGTGCGCTTTGCAGGACATGGAGGTGCCAGCGCGAAAGGGGAACAGAGTCACTTGCATTTTTTCAGTGGATACGCCTTCATTTTTACTCATAAAGGTAAGAGTAATATCATTCGTAACTGTAAAGGGTCTACTTTTATTTGTGTGCACTCACAATATCAACAAAACGTTGTGCTTTTATAAAATAAAGAAAACAAACATGATGCGCTTTCTGCCGTCTCGGACTTCAACAGGAGCGCTTCACAAAAATGAACCGAAACTCAGCGAATACATGTCTCACAGACATGATAAATATATCTATAGAAAGCTTTCAATTACTACTTAACGAAATAAAACAAATCAAAAACAAAAACTCTTTCATTATAATCATAATCCGTAAAGATGCACTTCTCTCTAAAGTTCCACCAGCGCGGCAATCTTTTTTCATCACTAATTGATGGATGTATAAAATATCAAAATAAGGAGAAGCCTAAAACAGGCCCAAGGCCCTGCCCGCGTCTGAACTATGACGTGAACATTGTCCTGAAGCCCAGCCCGAGGGGCGTAAAAAAGTCGGGGCCCGTCGGGCCCAGGCTGAAATGCGGGGCTCTTGCTCTGATCTAGCACACAGAAAACGATTTGACTGAAAATTTATCAGAAGAGATGAAAGAAAGATAGTGGTCATCTACGCAATTCAGAAAAAGAGGCATTAGGTACATTAGGTATGTTAAAACATTAGGTATGTTTTTTTTTAAATTTTTTACAGCAGTTATTGTTCATTCTAAATTTATTTGTGATTGTGCTGTTACTCCTTTCGAGCCGAATTTCACAAAATTGGGTGTTATTTATGGGGAGTATAATTATTTATTTATTTCAATGAATGTAATCGATTAGATATAATAATATTTAGGCTATAATATTATAAATCTGGTTGGTTTGTATTGCTGACGTAATATGTAAATGATATGCGTGCGGCCCGCGAGACTTGCACTTGGACCATAGTGCGGCCCGGTGGAAAAAAAGGTTGAGAACCACTGCTATAAGTTAACAATAATATAATAAGATAACCTTGTTTGAAATGGGTTTGGCTAAAATAATATTTTGGTTTTGCCTATACTACTAACATTAGGTACTTCTACTATATTGACTGGGTTAAATAGAATTTCATTACTAAAAAGAGACCAAAATACAATTTTCATTGACTAAAACTAGACTAAATGTCATCAGTTTTCGTCGACTAAAACTAGACTAAAAAGAGTATGAACGTGACTAAAACTAATAAAAACTAAAATGACAGCTTCACACAAAGACTAGACTAAAACTAAAATTAAAACAGGCCGCCAAAAACAACACTACTTGCCCTTTAAGTGCATTTGACAATTTCAGATTAAAACAAAATCATGCAACTTAGAAATACTGCATATGAAAACATTCAAAAGTATATACTGTAAATAGCAACTCTTAATTGCGATGGAATCTTTTTTTAAATCACCATGTTCCTGTCAACCCCAGGAAGAAGAAATGAAAAATGCAGAAAAAAACACACACACAATAGCCATTAGTCATTGCTAACCTCTCTGGATGCTGGTCTATATCCAAATCCAGACGGCAGGTTTTTATCTTCTTCACAGCCTTTAGCTCCTGGACTGAAATGAAGCTCCACATGGAAACGGTCCTCTGACGAAGGATCCTACAAATCCAAACCCCTCATCAACACGCTATTATCAGGGTCACACGTCTGTCATCATACGTGTCTCAATATATAGTATATTTGATCAAATATGAAGTTAACTTTCTTTTTCCACAATTAATTGTTAGAGTCTCTTGTATAGATTAACCAGTTGTTGAGTGGTTTCCAACTAATTAGATTTCTTCTAATACATAAAATAAAGTACTTCTAAGGCAAAAGAGTTTATTGAAGATGGTAGTGTAGAAAGACTCTCTGTGTGACAAGAATGCATGCCTCAAGACAAATGTGACCCTGGACCACAAAACCAGTCATAAGGGTCAATTTTTTTAAATTGAGATTTATACATCATCTGAAAGCTTTCCATTGATGTATGGTTTGTTAGGATCGGACAATATTTGGCTGAGATACAACTATATGAAAATCTGGAATCTGAGGGTGCAAAAAAATCTAGATATTGAGAAAATCATCTTTAAAGTTGTCTAAATGAAGTTTTTAGCAATGCATATTACTAATCAAAAATTAAGTTTTGATATATTTACAGTAGGAAATTTACTAAATATCTTCATGGAACATGATCTTTACTTAATATCCTAATGATTTTGACCCATACAATGTATTTTTGGCTATTGCTACAAATATACCCCAGCGACTTAAGACTGCTTTTGTGCTCCAGGCTCACAAATGTGCTTTATTTCCATTAAATTGTGTAAATAATTAAGCTATACTTATTAAGCTATAATTAAGTTTTAGGTACACTTTCATAAATATACTAAGACTATGTGTCTTAGTATATTTATTTATGAAAGTTTACCTAAAGCTTCCTTAGAAATACTTTCTAAAATTACAACACAAGCACATTCATTTTAAAAGTTAACAAAGGGGTCATATGATGCGATTTCAAGTTTTCCTTTCTCTTTGGAGTGTTACAAGCTGATTGTGCATAGATAAGATCCCTGAAGTTGCAAAGACTAAAGTCTCAAAACCAAAGAGATATTCTTTATCAAAGTTAAGACTCTGACGAGTGCTTGCGGTGTTCGGCCAATCACAATGCACTGGGTCAGCTGGCCAATCAGAGCAGACTGCGCTTGTCGGAAGGAGGGGCTTTGTAGAAAACGAAGCGTTTGAGAGAGGCGGGGCATAGAGGACCTACAATAATGTACAGTATTTGAAAAATAATGTGTTTTTTGAACATTAAAGCATGTTAACATGTTCTGTTACACCAAATACACAAAATCATGATCTTTAAAAAAGCATCATATGACCCCTTGAAGTTTTGCAAGCTCGAAATATGATCTTGCATGTGCAGAATTACAGCAGCAAAACCATTTCATACATTTCTTGGATATCAAGACAAAAGTCATTTCTAAGCATTTCACCCCTGATTTGTGTTGTGTAAAAGCACTGTATGTGTGCTGACATGCTGTCACCTTGTTTGGGTCTTCATAGAGCATGATGACTATCTGCGTCATGTAGTTCAGCTCGCTGACTATTTTGAGGTAGTCCATGGCTCTCTTCCACTGCTCATCTTTGGCCTCCTGAGGATACAGCCAAACAAATTCCTTCAAGTAGAACTCAGAACAGCAAAACAACAGCCAGGATATTTCAATGCACTTTAAAGCTTTAAAAGATTATATTAATCAGGGCATACATCACAGAGGGCTCCATAGCGCAAGACAGACAGCAGCGAGTGAACGTGACTCTCACTGGTGAAGTAAAGTCTGGTCCGCACATGGCGTTCTGGAGACATGACTCCTCTGGAATATCTGCGGACAGAACAATCAGCCCAGAAAGCCTTTTGATTTCACCCAAAACCTGAAATATTTACAGTGAAATATTAATGCATTTAAGGGGTCATCGTGACCCTAAAGTTTTTTTTTTTAAATCTCTGTGGGGTCAACTTACGATACAATATTAGGCACCAAAAACAGAAATAATTTGGTAATATCTGACCATTTTCCACCCTGTCCTTAACCATATGAATGAAAGGCTTGGTTTTGGTGCTCTTTCTTTTTTAAGATTTCAAACATCGACTACCATGAGGAGTGAAAAAGATGATGTCTTACACTGGATGCAGTTTATTAACAGTGTCATCGTCTTGTGTCCTCTGTAGGTCAGAGCGGATCTTGCGAATAAGAGGTGTACAGTAACCTTTGGCTATGTCCAGTTTCTCAGCTTGAGAAATACCATATTCCTGACAAGAGCAAATAAGGACAATTACCAAAAATATTTTATTAAGACAATCAACAAATTGTGACACATAAATTCATACAAGCTCTCATAATTAATTTATTAAAAACGGTCACCTGTGGGATAACGATGTCAGCCAGTGCTTTGGACAGCCGGTAAATTTCCATGGTGTTGTCCAGCTTTAATAAGCTGTTGTGCTGCACGTCATATTTGATGCAGTCATAGATATCAGGGATCTTGCTGATGTTGTATCGGCCGTTCTTCATCTTGAAATCCTTCTCGAGTTTAGACCACCGACGCAGCATCAGCTCTAGAGTCTCACTGTGATACAACTGCATATCTGTTAAAAAAAAAAAAGTGGCACTGAATTAGATGCCAACCCAGTCCTCTAACTATATATCAGCCAAACTGATGTTAGCATAAGACTAACATAACACAGAATAATGTATATTTGATTTTCATCTTCAGTAAATTGCAACAAAATAGCTGCACTTTAAGAGGGTCAGTAACATGCGAGGATGAAATGATTTGTCTTGAGAAATCTCTTAATTTGTATTTATGTTGGATTCACACATTTAAAGAAAAATAAAGAAACGTTTTATGCAATAAAAAAGGTCAAATAGCATAACCAAGATTTATTATTATAATTTATTTATGATTATAAATTTTAAAAAGCTTTTCAACAAATATCATGAATTTTTTGAATCATTTATATAAATTAAAGAACTGCAGTATGTTCAGCATACACACATCAATGCATATCTGAAATTTATTTTTTATGTTTTGTTAAACAAATGAATATATGTGTATTGACCCAGCAAGATTTCATTCATGGAATTTTGTTTATATGCACATTGTAAATGTATTTGTTTAATGCTTTAATAATGTACATGCACAACATTTACCATAATGTCTACCTGCTGATTTGGGGTCTTCCATTCTCTGGCGGATCTGCAGCGTCAGGTTCTGGATGAGGGAGTACACCTTATCACACGTCTTCACAGGGTTTTTAATCATCTGCATGGACTTCACCAGAGATGTGCTGGAGGTGGGCGCCAGCTAGTCCAAAATAAAACACATCATCACTCACAGTAGCAAAACAATTCAGATAAAATGGAGGGACATTTCTGAAATGGCTAAATTTGGGGTAAATTTGCATCGGTTTTTAATTCAATGGTCTAATGAAAAATCCTTTTTAAATTATAGCTCCCAAAAGCAGAGATGAACAACATAGTGACCAATTCTTTAAACAAGTATCTTCCATCTTAAATCTGATTGTACCTTCTCATAGTCTTCTGGCGTGAAGTCTCTGTCCTTCTGCAGAATCTCATGAAGTCGTGCTTTGACTTTCTGCTGGCAGCTGCTTAAGGAGTCACTGTCACTGTCCAGCAGCCCATTCATATTCGCACTCTTTACCATCTGCACCAGGATGGGCGTCAGCTCGCCCTCTAATGCCAGCAGGCCCTGAGACAGCAGACATACTCTTACTGAGAAATTATGTTTTAAATAGGGCTGTCAAAATAAGCATTAAAGCATACGACTAAAAATAAAGGGATAAAAATATTTGAAAATGTTTATACTTAGCATCAACACATTCAATCTGACATTATAGGTTTAATTCTGCTTTCTACAACCACACACCCTCTTCTCCAAAACCCTCCCAAAAAGCCCTTTTTTTCCTTCATAGGGAGCACATTAACCACACACACACAAAAAATCTTTAGATCAGTCACAGTTAAACTATTTGAAGAACTGAGCTTCTGTAGAGCTGCTTTATATCGGAATCAAATTTGGATTCAAAATTTGTTACATCGAGTAAACACTGAACTGACTTGAGCTGACTTGTTTTTTAGAGCTGCTTAACATTTGAATTTGTCTCATATGTGATGAATTTTGCATCACTGATTCTGTTTATTACTGAGAAGCTGCTTTGAAACAATCTGTATTGTATGAAGCACTCTAAAATGTGACTTGACTCAATACACTGACAACCGTAGTTTTAATAAACGACTTTGATAACACTTAATCTTTTATATTTCAGACCCGATGGAGAAAATAACGGTGGTCGTGCTACTTTAGCAAACGCTGCAGCAGTCATCTGAACGCGTCCTTCATCAGAGGCGTATATCTTCAGGTCATGCCTGTATGTGCTGTGCAGACGGAGGAGGCCACAGCCGGGAAAGCCAGCGTAATCGCCTGAGACACGGGAGAAAGCAATAAAGAACATGGGGCAGACATGATAAAGACAATAATGAGCACAGTGAGAGTAAAGTACCTTGTCCTCCAGGGTACATACACCTGAAGGCCCGGCCAAGCTCTTCAGCCTGAACCCTGCCTGCTGGAGTCAGCTCTCCACCCCACTTCAAAACCAGCAAGAGCGACGGGTCGTCCCTCCGCACGTCTGGACAAAACACACACTTCCATATCAAATACATCAGCCTTGCATGTTGCATGCAACAACCATGAACAATTCATTACCCATCTAATATTTCACCTACAAAACAAAGATAGAGCAAGAGCTTTATGCACACTTTAAGCTCTCCACATCCCACTTTGCCATACCATTTCTTTGACCTTTTTCAAATCTGAGGGGTGAATAATCAGAGCTAAAATATGAGAGGGGTGGGTTTCATGACCCTTTAAGTGAGTATGCTTTGCCAGGAAATTCTGCAATGTGGATCAATTTTAGAATCGACTGCACTAAAATAAGCCTCTTTTATACTATAAAATGTAACCGATCTTACACTTACATAAAACCATATAAACAGATGGAACGGCTGAAGAAACAGAATATAAATAAATCATAATCAGCCAAACGATGCATGCGAGACCATCCTTACCTTCCTCTTCACTAGATGTTTTAGGGCAGCCATGTGGCAGATATGTTAACTGAACCTTGCGATTAATGCCAGAGAAATGACCGTACCTGAACAAACAAAATGAGATATTAGAAAGGAGACTGAAATACAGCTGTATAATTGAATGCAATGGGGCCAAGCATGACAGGTCAAAAGTGGCATTAAAATGCACTGGATATAGCATCTGCAGGGATTATTTTAGTAAGAGTGGTTGAAATAACACAAAAGCTGGCGCTGTCATCAAATCGATGCTGCATTTTCAAGGCAATGTGCCAATGACACAAAATGCCCAGTAAATACGTCAAAGATACATCGGCAAGATACAACCTCAGTCCTTGCTATTAAATTAATGATAAATTAAAAAACAAGTACCATTTTCTACAACTTTTTACTAGCATGGTATGAAGGTGATTTAACGTTGATACTAAATTTGGTGAGCATCCGATGAAACCTTTTTCAATAAAACTGAAAGTGTTAGAGAGACAGTACTGCTGTCTTTATACTTTTCAGTAACCCTAAAGGCCATGCTGAAATGACATTTAACGAGATTCATTATTTATCTACCCTTTTGTCATTTCAAACCAGTATGCATTTCATTCTCTTGTGGAATAGACTACAAACCAGAAGCAATGGCAGAAGAAGAAGAAGAATCCGAAAACTAACTAGACATGCCTGGCCCCTATTAATAAACTTACTGGACCCACTTACATTTCAAGAACTGTTTTCAGCTGTTCAAGCTTTGCTTTGCTCTCCTCAATTTCTGAATCGTTATTTTGGCCGAGTTCTAGCAACAGCTGCCTGGCAATGTCCAGCACCTCCTGTCCAATTCAAACAAACAACTGAGCAAAGCAGCTAATATTCAAACGCAGTGTGATGATGAATAATATTTGTTATTCTAAAACAACATTTCTTTACTTGGAGTTGCTTTGGTTTTTTTAATTTCAGTTTTCCACTTTTGTAACCTTCACATTTTTCAAAAAGGTCAAAAAACCTGAAAGACACAACATGAGAAATTCAAAAGTGTTTCATAGAACAGTGGACTTTAGCTGAGCAGAGTGTGTTCCAATAGAATTTCTGATTTGTTTTGGAACTAGTGAGAGTTTATGATGAATATAGTTCAATGAGTGCGTGGAGCTGAAATGTCTTTACCGCTGATGTCTAACTTCCATCTTCATCTTCTGTTTCGGGGTTCTGTCACCATGTCGAATCACAGCAATCACACACCTCAACTCCATCCTGAGAGTCATACGACAGCACTTAAAAAGATATTTACTTTGAGCTTATACAGAATCAGTACATCAGTATTAATATATAATATTAATGTGTTAAAAAGGAACAGTTCCCTAAAAATGAAAATTCTGTCATCATTTACTCACTGTCATTCCCATGACTGACTTTTGACACAAAAAGCGATAATTTGATGAAAATCCAGTCGGGTGAAATCAATACAATGGCAGCACACTGTGACTTTAACACTTAAAAGGGTTAGTAAATTAATTTACTCATCCTCATGTCGTTCCAAACGCATAAGGCCTTTGTACCTCTTCAAATCACAAATGAAGTCAACTTCACTGAAACCTGCGGGATTTTCTGTTCCCCCCGTTGAAAGTCCATGACACCAACATTTGATGATTCAAAAAGTTCATAAAAACATTGTAAACATCAAGTGCTTTAATCCAAGTTTCCTGAAATGACACGATGAGCAATTAAGGCTGTTATTCACATACAACGCACATTGGAGCACATCAAACATGGCAAATGCAAGCTCAGACGTGCTTGTGGGATGCGCAAGAACCTCAAGCAAGTACGACTGAGCTTCCTTTAGCAAATTTGATGTGCTGCATGTGTTGATCAAGGTTTACATGTGAATGAAAGCCGACATGCAAAAAGCGATAATTTGATGAAAATCCAGTCGGGTGAAATCAATACAATGGCAGCACACTGTGACTTTAACACTTAAAAGGGTTAGTAAATTAATTTACTCATCCTCATGTCGTTCCAAACGCATAAGGCCTTTGTACCTCTTCAAATCACAAATGAAGTCAACTTCACTGAAACCTGCGGGATTTTCTGTTCCCCCCGTTGAAAGTCCATGACACCAACATTTGATGATTCAAAAAGTTCATAAAAACATTGTAAACATCAAGTGCTTTAATCCAAGTCTCCTGAAATGACACGATGAGCAATTAAGGCTGTTATTCACATACAACGCACATTGGAGCACATCAAACATGGCAAATGCAAGCTCAGACGTGCTTGTGGGATGCGCAAGAACCTCAAGCAAGTACGACTGAGCTTCCTTTAGCAAATTTGATGTGCTGCATGTGTTGATCAAGGTTTACATGTTCATCAATCTGTTCATCAAAGCGGACATGTCGACTGATTACATTTACAATCTTTTTGAATCGTCAAAGTTTCGGTGGAATGGACTTTCAACGGAGGGACAGAAATCTCTCAGGATTCATTACAAAGATCTTCATTCGTGTTTCAAAGATGAACAAAGGTCTTATGGGTTTCGAACGACACGAGGGTGAGTAATTGATGACAGAATTTTTATTTTTGGGGGAACTCTCCCTTAAATAAAGTACATAAGAGTGTCAGCAAACACATCCGCTAATAACTGACCCTGGACCACAAAACATAAGGGTCAATTTTTTCGAAATTGAGATTTATACATCATCTGAAAGCTGAATGAATAAGCTTTCCATTGATGTATGGTTTTGTTAGGATAGGACAATATTTGGTCGAGATAAAAACTATTTGAAAATCTGGAATCTGAGAGTGAAAAAAAATCTAAATATTGAGAAAAATCGCCTTTAAAGTTGTCCAGAAGTTCTTAGCAATGCATATTACTAATGATAATACATTTTGGATATATTTACGGTAGGAAATTTACAAAATATCTTCATGGAACATGATCTTTACTTAATATCCTAATGATTTTTAGCATAAAAGAAAAATCGATAATTTTGAACCATGCAATGTATTTTTGGCTATTGCTACAAATATACCCCAGCGACTTAACACTGCTTTTGTGCTCCAGGGTCACATTTGTGTTTTTGGTGAAAACAGAAGAAAGTCATATGAGTTTGAGACACGGAGAATGAGTTAATAAATTTCATTTTTGGGAGAAGAATACCTTTAATAGTTTCCTAGAAACTAAAAAGATTGCACTAGCTGAAATACTAATAGCATTGTTGAAGTAATTATCACTAAAAGGTTAAAATGACGCCGGTCTTTGCTTGTAAGGACGTACATAGTGCCAGAGGTTGTGGGAACTATGGGAATGTCCTCTGCTTCTAAAGGGATCGACCACGGGATCTGAAACTGTGGAGCCAGCTCTCTCATGATGATGTTCCTGTAGGGCCAAAGAAAAACAATATCAACTGACTTTAAATAAATACACTATTCATCTGTATAAATAAATGTGTGTTCTACATTAAATGTATTAATAATGCATGAAGTATTTCTAATCAGAAATTACCAGAGTAATCTTCTTATTATAATTAAAAATGCAGCTTTTTATGTCAAAAAAGAAAATACAAAAAACTTTTTTTTAGCATCTGACAATAAAACATAAGATTATATCAGTGTACCTAATATATTAAAGTATATTAGAAACTAGAAGTGATTTTGTAAATCACTGGATATTTTGGATTTGTATACTAACCCCAGGATTTTTGCACAGTCATCGTAGTATTTCATGGAGTTCTTGACGAAGCTGAAGCCATTGACGTCACAGACGTATGACTGGCCACTGGCACGGAGCAGGTCGAACCCACACACGGTTTGCTATAAATGAGTAATTGCTAACACTTCATGACCAACTTTCAGATATAAGGCTCAAACTATTAAAATGAGTGGCATCATGACTGAGTTTTGCATTTTGCAAGACTGTTTTCAACATCTTCATTTACCTTGAAAGCCGAACAGACTTTCCATGCGATGAGTTTCTCTCTGGCATTGAGGATGACTGGGTAACGGACCTCTTTCCCCTCACTGTCTCGTTCCACCTTCCCATCCAGAGCGGGAGATTTACGGGCCTCTGCATGGGCATAGTCAGGACCTACAGTATACACCTGATGTGCACAAGCGCAAAGAAAGCATATGAAATAAAGCTGTTAATTCACCAATGAACCAGAGTCTATAAACAACTATAAAAAGTGGAAGAAAATATGCAGGGATGCCTGAAGCAAGGCCAAGGGATGAAGGGTCTCGTTCCCTATTCTCAGGGAACCATGGTTACATGCGAAATACAACACTTCTCAAAGTGAGAGGTGGCCTAGCACACTCCATACAAGGTCAGTAGCCAAGGGGGCTCGAAGATTGCCTAACAACCTAGCATACTACCCTACCGCCTAGCCGAGCTCTAGGAGCGGAGACCTCAACATGAGGAGGCCTAACTACACTCCACGCTCGGGACATCTTGTAAGGAGGCTCACAGAGAGCCTACAACTCACCGACGCTGTCCTAGCGGAGCTCTCGTTAGTGGAGGCCTCATTAGATAACTCTCTGTAGCGAGAGGAGGCCTGACGACGCTCACAGTAATTAGCCGAGCTCTAGGAGCAGAGGCCTCAGCATGACTACTCTCTAAACGAGAGGAGGCCTAACTACACCCTACGCTCGGGACATCTTGTAAGGAGGCTCACAGAGAGCCTACAACTCACCGACGCTGTCCTAGCGGAGCTCTCGTTAGTGGAGGCCTCATTAGATAACTCTCTGTAGCGAGAGGAGGCCTGACGACGCTCACAGTAATTAGCCGAGCTCTAGGAGCAGAGGCCTCAGCATGACTACTCTCTAAACGAGAGGAGGCCTAACTACACCCTACGCTCGGGACATCTTGTAAGGAGGCTCACAGAGAGCCTACAACTCACCGACGCTGTCCTAGCAGAGCTCTCGTGAGCGGAGGCCTCAATAAATAACCCTCTGTAGCGAGAGGAGGCCTGACGATGCTCGCAGTAATTAGCTGAGCTCTAGGAGCAGAGGCCTCAGCATGACGACTCTCTAAATGAGAGGAGGCCTAACTACACCCCACGCTCGGGACATCTTGTAAGGAGGCTCACGTAGAGCCTACAACTCACCAACGCTGTCCTAGCGGAGCTCTCGTGAGCCGAGGCCTCAACAAGATACTCTCTGTAGCGAGAGGAGGCCTGACAACATTTGCAGTAATTGGCCGAGCTCTAGGAGCAGAGGCCTCAGCATGACGACTCTCTAAAATGAGAGGAGACCTAATCACACTCCACGCTTAGGACATCTTGTAAGGAGGCACACATAGAGCCTACAATACACAGAAGCTGTCCTAGCAGAGCTCTCGTGAGCGGAGGCCTCAATAGATAACTCTCTGTAGCGGGAGGAGGCCTCACTATGCTCGCAGTAAATGGCCAAGCTCTAGGGGCGGAGCTCCAATCCTTCTGTTCGACTAATATAGATATCTTAGCTTCTCAAAGCCAGATGACTACACATCATTTAATTCCTCAGAATTAAATGCAGCCAAACAACCAAACAAGTGAAACACGGTCTGGATGTTAAGCTGAAAATCATCAAAATATATGCAGTATAAAAGTATCGTGAACAACAGCTTGCAATGCATTAATTTTGTTGCAGACCCATAACGCATCGAGCCGCTCGATTCTATATTGCATAAGAGCTTCTACCCGCAAGAAGAAAAACACATCGCATTTTATGAATGAACATGGCTGACTGTGCGTGTTCCGTTCCCAAACAAACCACTCATAAATTGCGTGTATCCCCACACATGATGTAGCCAGAGAAAAAGCAGTATTAATGCTAACAATATCAACCTCCTCGGAGGATGATGGCAGCAACGAGCTCTCACTCGGAGGGGGAAGAGACCACAGCGCGGGCTTCCGAACCCCGAGAGAGAGTGCTAGATCAGAGGTGAACGCATCGTGAAAAATTCGCTCTAAACATACCACCCAAAAGCACGTCCCACATCCCTCGAGAATAGGGACATCATAAATTAAGAAAATTCATTGAGAAAAACCCTTTCAATGCGCGCATTCTGCTCCCTCGGGAGCTAAAACGTGCTTGCTCCTAACTCATGAACAAACAGACGATCTCCTGAAGACAAGAAAGAGGATGATGTAATTCACAGGTGCCCTTTTATACTCGAAAGGGAACTCGAATATATGCACAGGTTGACTAGATGAGCCTGTGTGATGAATACTGTAAGTCTGGCACAAGGTGGTACTATAATGAGCTAATTCACATGTTTGTTAACAACTTTGGACACTTACTGTAAACCCAAGTCATTTTATAATAGAGCAAATCGGATTAGACAATCTTTTATCACCTTAGCTATAAAGCTCTTAAACTCTGATTTAAATGAGATATTTAAGGGTTTATGTTCTTGTCATGAGTTTTTTGTAATTTTTTGTACTTTCATATTCTGATTATACGTCAAAGGACACGTTCACACTGCAAGCATTAGTTCTCAATTCCGATTTATTACTCGGATCTGACTTTTTTTTGTATGGCTGTTCACATTATGCTTTTTAAACGTGGCCAATATCAGATTCCAGTGTGAACTGATCACGGTCCTGAAGTGACATGACTGTGCAAAAGAATAACAATAGAATAAATAAGACGGCATGAAGCACGTCATCACTTAAGGAGGCCACTTCAGTAAGCATTTACGCAATCATTTATAAGCTGATGTGCCGCGAATTCTAAGAAGGCGATAAAGGATGACGAAGATAAGGAGAAAGTTTTTAAATATTCATGATTTGACCTCTTCAGTTTAGCTTGTATAGAGCTGTCACTGTAATACTGTAAAGAGTAAACAACACCACACTGTCTCTTCAATGACTACCTTTTTTTTTGTATGGCTGTTCACATTATGCTTTTTAAACGTGGCCAATATCAGATTCCAGTGTGAACTGATCACGGTCCTGAAGTGACATGACTGTGCAAAAGAATAACAATAGAATAAATAAGACGGCATGAAGCACGTCATCACTTAAGGAGGCCACTTCAGTAAGCATTTACGCAATCATTTATAAGCTGATGTGCCGCGAATTCTAAGAAGGCGATAAAGGATGACGAAGATAAGGAGAAAGTTTTTAAATATTCATGATTTGACCTCTTCAGTTTAGCTTGTATAGAGCTGTCACTGTAATACTGTAAAGAGTAAACAACACCACACTGTCTCTTCAATGACTACCTTTGCAACTTTCTGTCATATTCACAGAGTGATCAAAGAAATAACAGTACGTAATATCATTGGAGTGACTCCTGTCAGTGCAGGATTATGATGAATGTCAATCATGTCAATCATAGAGTGATGTAAAAGTCGCATGAATTGACTGCGGTGGCATTGCAACACATCTGACCTGAATCAGATTCAGGACCACATATGAAAGTGGCCCAAATCAGAATCGAAAAGTTCAGATTCTATGTGGTTTGTGCCGTTCACACTGTCATGAATCTAAACGATCTGAGTGACATATAGGAGTACAAAAAAATCAGATTTTTACCAAGTTGCCAACTTTGAAAATGAAATTAAAAACTGAACTGAACAGCCTCAAGAGTTTTCACATACTATATATCTCACATTTTGAGATGTTTTGTGAAGAACATAATGAAGAGAAAGAGAAACAAACTTTCCTCTTAAGAAAATCTAAATATTTTAGTCACTTTGTTGAATCACAAAAATACCAGCACTAATATGAAAAAACATGAACACCGTGTGTGAGCTTCTTTGCTCTGCTGAAGATGAACGATTGCGATACCTTCACATCCGTTCCGTCTGTGGGCATGAACTCCTCATAGATGTAGGATCCAGTCTTTCTGACGTTACTCTCGGGAGAATAGACGCTACTTCTGCTGCCAATCTGAAACAGACGAAACGTGACCAGAAACCGAGTTTGGATGATCTGATAAACAGAGTCAACAACAGTGTTCCAGAAGTTAAATTATTTATGTATTTTTTGTGATAACATAAACCTTTCAATACCAATATACGATTTCATGTCGTTATGACTATATCTTCTTGTTTTTGAATTATTATTTATTTGCACCACACTACTAAATCATTAAACACAAACCATGTCAGTGTTACACAAGCTATTAAGCAGCTCAGCTACTCGCTCCTAAAAAGAATTGCAAGTAGGCCTTTTGTGTTCAAAAACAAAAGTGTTGCGTTTATAATTTTGTTCAGTGTAAATGAGTCTCCGTTTAATGACAACCTATAAATATCAATATTTCTGATTACTTGAATATTTAATATATACTGAATATAAAAAAATAAATAAAAAAAACACACATGCTATTCCCAGTGTTGTTCTCAAAACAAACATACAAATATAGTGTATGTATTCAAGTTTTTAGGCACATTTACCAGAGAACCTGACAGGGCTCTACACTTATGAGTCGCTTTAATATAACAACTAATTCTCAAATTTAATATAGCTCATTCTCATGTTTTGGGTAGCTTGGACCATGCACTTTGTGTCCTCTATTTTTCAGGTCTATTTTGATAGAAATAGACCTGATTAATCAATAAATTCATTGTTGATTAGTTTTATTGATTTGTGGTTTGTGTCTTATAATATATTTATAAGTTGAGGTGGATGGATTATCTCGGCAAAGGAGAAGTGCTCACTAACACAGATTTAGACAGATTTGTGAACAGTATTTGAGAGAAATAGGCCTTTTGTGTTCAAAAACAAAAGTGTTGCGTTTATAATTTTGTTCAGTGTAAATGAGTCTCCGTTTAATGACAACCTATAAATATCAATATTTCTGATTACTTGAATATTTAATATATACTGAATATAAAATATAAATAAAAAAAAACACACATGCTATTCCAGTGTTGTTCTCAAAACAAACATACAAATATAGTGTATGTATCCAAGTTTTTAGGCACATTTACCAGAGAACCTGACAGGGCTCTACACTTATGAGTCGCTTTAATATAACAACTAATTCTCAAATTTAATATAGCTCATTCTCATGTTTTGGGTAGCTTGGACCATGCACTTTGTGTCCTCTATTTTTCAGGTCTATTTTGATAGAAATAGACCCGATTAATCAATAAATTCATTGTTGATTAGTTTTATTGATTTGTGGTTTGTGTCTTATAATATATTTATTTATAAGTTTTTTTTTAAATACTTGCTTAAAATCAATTGATGTAATGTGGTGTGTATAAGAGTATGGAGTTGAGGAGATTGATTGAGACTCATTAAGGTCACACCTTGCGGAAGAGCCGCTGACTGCCTCCTCCTGCAGATGTGGGGTAGTAGATGTAGACATTGTGGTCCTCAGCACTCACAGGCTTCTCTACGAAGGGCTTCTGGAAAATCTCTCCATTCACCTCCACATGGTCCTCTCCCTCCACCAGATTACATTCTTCAAAAACATCACACAACATCATAAACAACCCATGAAATCGTTCGCATTAGAAACATGATATTTGGGTAAAGCATATTTTGAGAGACCGAATGCACACGGTCAGGTTCTCATTGACAGGGTAATCAGCCAATCAAATCAGCAAACTGGAGGCACTACCTCCTCTCACGTGACTTTTCATTTGTATAGTGCTGTTACTACCTTGCATTCACACGAGCGATTCAAAGAGAAGCTCAAGCGAACACTGCTTTATAAAAAGACAAGGTAAACAGGCAGCAAGAAAATGAAATCACATGGCCTTGATTTGATTGAATTCAGTTGAAAAGTACATACATACATTCTCTCAACTAATCCTGTAAACTACAAAGGTAACCATTTTACTCATTATTTATTCGTATTCATGAACCCACATGTATAAAATAGGGAAAGCAACTCACAATAATTATTAGAAAAACAAAACTGAAAATTTGTTTTTCATTAAAACTTATTATAACTGCTAATATTGTAGGCTCATGTTTATCCCCCCCTTCTCATTTGTAAGTATCAGCTAAATGACATTCACGCCCTACAAACTACCTGAGAACATGCCACTGTGCTCTAAACACATTATCTGTTTGCTGGTGCCACAGGCTTATTCTATGAAGTCCAAACTAGGACAGTGTGAGATTTGAGGGAGTTAACAAACCTTCTGGTCTGGCAGGATCTCTGTTCAGAACCGCAAAGCGGGGGAGCTGTATTCCCTCGGCCTTCAGTATCTGATACACCTCCCTCCTAAACACGAAAATATCGCATATTAATGTGGATTTTGTGGGTGGGGGGGACAAACAAACATTGGTTTTCATATAGCACCCATGCACAGTTTTCTTTAAAGTTATTTAAATGGTGCTTCAAACCAATGTTTAAACCACGTTTAACCAAAATGTCCCATCTTATCATTTACTCAGCCTCACGTCGTTCCAACCCCTTAAGAGTTTTAGAAATCTTCCAAACATAAATGAAACAATGAGCAAGCATGCCAGAGTGTCCATTATTTGATGTGCTCTGTGCATGATCAACAAAGTGACAGGAATATTTCATCATATAACATCTTCATTTGTGTTTTAAAGAGCAAGTTGCGTGAGTTTGGAACGAAATTAGGATGAGTAAATGTTGACTTAAAAGGCAATAATCACACAAGAGTATAAATATCTGATGAGTCCTGCTGTAGACACGAGGTTACAGTGATGAGTATTATTTGTGTAGCATTACTTCTGTATTAAAGACAACAAGTTGATATCGAGAACATTTTAGACACAGTGCTGCCAAACAGAACTATTTTCACTGGCAGAACAAAAACAGTCAACTGGACTACATTTCAGGACTCTTGAAACGCCACTAGGCCAAACACATTCAGTGAATCAGTGTCTGAGTGATTCACTGTGCACTGCATCAGCATCTTTTGTTTTCTCATATCGCTCAGAGCTAAAAAGAACCAGTTGTGCCACTTGTCAGTTGTGTGTGGAAGAATTACTGTGAGAGACAGTTAGTCGTGTAGATGCATGAAGTTTCAATGTTTCTAAACCAAATCAAATAAATACATTTATCTCTTTAAATGATCACTTCTGTTGAAGTGATGACTGCTTCATGGGCAAATGCTTGCATGCATGCTGTGGGTTGCTGTGTTGACCACGGTTAAAATGCAAACATTCAAGCAGTTGAAACATTAGCTAGCTGCTGCATTTAAGAGTAAACTGTCACAGCAATACCTCTCTCACATGGCAAAACTTTCCACTAATAATGTTAACTGTTTCGAGGCAGTGGTAAACTGTTCGTTCTAGATAGGCTAAAGGAAAACACAATCTTTTTTTTTTTCTTAATTTTCCAGGACAACAAGATTTTTCAGGACATTTATGATTTTCTCTCATTTCCCATGTGCTTTCCAGGACTGAAAAACATGTCCTCAACAAGCAGGAGTGCTGCTGTTCTGGATATAAACACAGCTGTGATAGGGCCGTAAGCACCAGGCCATAGTCCACTTGCCATATTCAGACCAACAGCACAATTTCAAATGTGATATTGCTTTTATACAACAGGCCAGTTAAAAAGTGGTTAATATTGCATTGTAAGTTGATGTATTCTCCGTGAGTAGAGACCATGACAATCACCCATGCTAGAGGAACGCTATATACTTAAAAAAATGCACATTCTGTCATCACTGCACGCCAGGGTCGGAAATTAAAGGGGGTTGGGGCAAAAATGCCCACCAATTCCAGCTGCAAAATTAAATGAAATCCATTACAACTATTGCGCTTAACCCTCAAGCATCCTTCATAGAGCAGCCCTTAATGAATCCTTCGTGGACACATTTGGGCACGAATGTCTCAGGTGTGAACCTTAAAGTTTTTTTACTTATTTTAACTTATGCAATTCCTTTGTGATTTTTTTTTGTGGTATTTTTGAATTTATTTAGCTCTAAAATTACTCCATTGACTTTCATGTAAAATATGCTTTCTTTCTTCTTTTTTTTACTTCAGTAAAAATATTCATTCCTTTAAGTTGAAACAGCCAAAATCTCAATTTAGAAAACTTGACATCTTGTGACATATACTGGTATAAAAATATCAATAACATGAAACATCAATGGCTACTAGATGGTTGTAGAAGGCCTACTCACTGCATTGGCTGCATTGGCTGAAATCTAAACCAATGTTGTAACAAACTTAACCTCTTAAGTTTTAGATTATATAACAAGTTAAAATTGCAGAATTTTTTTAAACCATGTGTTGGGCGAGACTATACAAAAATGCCAAAATATGCTAACAGACAAATCTGACCATGCTATAAGGAAAAGACAAAGTAGGAGACGGAATAATTTATTTCTAATAAAAAAACATCAAATTTCAATAACTTAAAAAAAGCAAAATGGTACTAAACAGGTAAGAATAAACAATAAACCTAGCAAGTAGCATGTTTCAGATATGTTTTGTTTGGAAGCATCAACAAATTTTGCAGGACTTTGATCTGACTTTGAAGTGTGTGTGTTTTTTATTTGACAAAATTAACAACAAAAAAATGTTATAGGGTCATTCAATGTTTTGTTTAATGATGTGTGTGTGTGTGTGTGTCTGTTTTTATTTAACAAAATTAACAACAACAAAAATATTATAGGGTCATTCAATGTTTTGTTTAATGATGTGTGTGTGTGTGTGTGTCTGTTTTTATTTAACAAAATTAACAACAACAAAAATATTATAGGGTCATTCAATGTTTTGTTTAATGATGTGTGTGTGTGTGTGTGTCTGTTTTTATTTAACAAAATTAACAACAACAAAAATATTATAGGGTCATTCAATGTTTTGTTTATGGATATGTGTGTGTGTGTGTGTGCTACATTGAGGCTCGTTGTATAGGCTCACCCCTTTATTTATATGTATGTATGATCTGCAATTCTGCATTGTGTTGGATTTATTGATTTGTATTGATTAACAACAAAAAAATGTTATAGGGTCATTCAATGTTTTGTTTATGGATATGTGTGTGTGTGTGTGTGCCACATTGAGGCTCGTTGTATAGGCTCACCCCTTTATTTATATGTATGTATGATCTGCAATTCTGCATTGTGTTGGATTTATTGATTTGTATTGGACAAATAAAAAAAATTGCTCTGAATTATAGTCTCACCCATTAATTTCCTATGACTGGCCACTTTTGTCCACGAAGGACCAGTTAAGAAGTTTTTTTTTTCCAAACACAACATTGTTGAATCAAATCCAACTTTTTTGTGTGTTCAGGTAGGAAACATAGGAAAAGTAACCAAGTCGTTTACCACTCAGATTAAGGAAACCATTTTTATTTAAAAGGGGGAAAAAAATATTTTGCCCAAATCTGTCCCCAAGGCCTATTTAGGGTTAAAGTAAAATATGAAAATAAATGAAAAGTGCCAATTGCAACATTGCATTTAGATCTGTCAGTGTTGCATCATAGATTTATTTTTATGTTTTTTTTTTCTTTCAGTGTTGAGCATTATAACCAATCAACCATGTTAGGAAACATAGGAAAAGTAACCAAGTCGTTTACCACTCAGATTAAGGAAACCATTTTTATTTAAAAGGGGAAAAAAAATTATTTTGCCCAAATCTGTCCCCAAGGCCTATTTAGGGTTAATATAAAAATATGAAAATAAATGAAAAGTGCCAATTGCAACATTGCATTTAGATCTGTCAGTGTTGCATCAGAGATTTATTTTTATGTTTTTTTTTTCTTTCAGTGTTGAGCATTATAACCAATCAACCATGTACTTGTTGAGTGCATGAATGCAATGGCCAATCAGAGGCATTTAGATTAGTCACCAGTGATCAAGAAACCCGCTGAAAATGCCAGAGATTTTCCAGAGCGCTGACTTTGGCACTCTTGCCAATTCTCTCATAATAAACAAAAAAAGTTACGATATATGTAATAGTTTCCTTGCGCAGTGTAGACAGCATCAGTGAGATTCTGTGAGCGTGCCCAACTGAAATCACTGACGCTTCAGGGAGCTGGAACTACTACTCATCTACTTATCTTTCAAATATATTGAACAAAAGTTTTTCCAGTTTTAAAAGCATGAAGTATAGCTGGCAATATCTTTTGAATTGGAGTTGGAGCACATCATGTGTGGTCAATAAACAATGCGGTTAACTTGCAATACAAATCAAGACATGGTGGTGGACATGAAGCTCACCTGTCCTGAATAAAATACTGAAGATCCAGATCGTTGATGACAAACGGATTCCTCAGCTTCTTATAAGCCACAGCTTTATCCAGTGGGAATCCTTTAAAAACCGACAATAAATAGTGAATATGAATTCACAGAAGCAGGTTCATATCAAGAGGGGATGAATACATTTTCACTCTTGTTCTCAGTATAGTAACTGACTGTAACTACCTGTGCATGCAACCTTTTTAACACATCTTTCAACCAATCAGAATAGAGTATTCAGACCATGGTATAAATTAGCACAATTCACATTCCACACAAACTTCACATAATTTATATTATTTTGCAAATATGGGCACAACTTAAAATCATTAACCATAATCTGATAAAAATCAAGTGTGACGAATGTTTCAGAATACACAGTAAAAATATATCTTTCTAATCCGTTACACTAAACACAAGCAGGACGTCACAAACCTTTGGAATGGAAAGAGATGAGACAATCGCAGAGCGGCCAGTTTTCCACCGGCTCATTCAGGATGACTTCCTCTTCAAACGTAACCACAGTGATGTATTTGAACAGACACAGTCTCTCCAGGATCTCCTTCATAGGTTTGGACTTTGACTTCTTAGACATGGCACAGATACCCACCACGATCTGTCTCTCCGGGGGCTGCAGATAACAACACGCTTCTCAAATTAAAATCCTTTCATTTGTTTGAGTTACGTTTAATGAGGATAAAATGTTTAGCTACTGAACAAAAATTGTCATGTATCTGTGATTTGATTTGTTGCGATGTAAAAGAACTAGTGCTGTCAAATGATTAATTTAATTGCATACAAAATAAAAGTTTTTGTTTGCATAATATATGTTTGTGTTCTGTGTATATTTATTATGTATATATATATAAATACACACACATACAGAATATATTTTGAAAATATTTACATGTCTATATTTATATAATTTATATTATAAATATATTTAAAGGTGACATTTCATGAAAATCTGGCTTTTCCAGGTTTTAAGTGCTATAATCAGGTCCCCGGTGCATCTACCAACCAAGGAAACGTGAAAAAGATTAACCCAGTAACTTAGTTTTGGGAAGCCTTTTTCTGCAAGCGTCTGAGAAAACCAGCGCGTCTGATTTTGCTCCCTTGGTGACGTGGCAAAGATCTCATTATAATATTACCGCCCCTTAATCTGTAAGTTTCCACCCAGGCGCCGTTATTGTGATTTCGCAAGTGTCAATGGTGTACCAGCTCTAATGGTAGATATATTATGTAAACAAAAACTTTTATTTTGGATGCGATTAATCGTTTGACAGCACTAAAAAAAAGCATCCCTCACTGACAGCTGAAACAATATAATCGTCACCAATCCACCAACACAACAATCTAGTGCTAGTGTTACTACAACAACCCAGCTGTTGAGTTAGAGCGCTGGCTATTTGAGAGAGAAGTACTCAGCGCCACCAGATTGGTACATTTCTTCAGGGAAATACAGGTTTGTATACATTTAGCGTCTTATTGTGCTGTAAATCATTTTACTTCACATGATGCAACACACAGGTATGAAATGTAAGTCAGCTAATGATAAAAACGCCTGATGTCTTGTAAAATATAACCTTTTTTTAATCGTAGAGATACTGAATCTAATTACTTCGGATATTAAAATACGTTCTCATAACTCTGTACCGTTTGTTTACAAGCAGGTTAAAAGGAATCAGTAGGGCTGCATAATTAATCGAATTTCTAATCGTGATTACAATTACGGATACCACAATTAGCTACATAATCATTCAAAGCGGCAATTAATCGTTCAAAGTCAACTTATGTTATTCTGCGTGCTTAAGATTAGTTTTTTTTCTTTCTACGGGTTATCTTGAGGGTTTTTCCACTGTTTAAATTTTAGTTTTAGTATAACATTATAATACCATGCAAATTTGTACTTTTTTTATTGAAATAAGAAACCAATCCAATGTATGGTTGACATTTCAGGCTTAATACTATAGAAAAGCAATAAAAGTTCTTCAGTTTTCAGCTTGTTTATTTTCATATAAAAATATGGCATGCACTTGCTTCAAACAATGGTATAAACATCATTCATTGTGGTAATCGTAATTAATAATTGCAATTACAATTTCAAGGGATTAACCAACAATTATGATTTTTGTCATAATCGTGCAGCCCTAGGAATCAGTTGGTTATTAGATAACAACTGATCTATGAGCCACACATCGTCATGTAAAGCACAAAATGGGCTAAAACATGCTTTTTTTGGGAGTTAAATTGACAACCACAAACCTTAGACAATCACGTTACATGATTTATTTAAATACTCTTCTCCTATAAATTTTGCATCTGAAAGGGAAACTCCTAGAATTGCAATAAGGTCAGCTGCAAAAAGTAACTGTGTCCACACCGTCCTTGCACCCAATTTTATACACTGCTGACTTTGTCACAATGTTGGATTTCCTTCTTGAAGGAGTTTTAGCATCCTTTCATTGTTTCCGCTGAATTTTGTTTCTTCACAATTAGCCAAGTCTGACCAGTGTTGCCAACTTAGCAGTTTTGTTGCTAAATTTAGCAACTTTTCACACTACCCTAGCAACTTTTTCTTCCAAAAGCCCCTAGCAACAAATTTAGCTTCTCTTTTTTTTTTTTTTTGGCAACTTTTAGCAACTTTTGATAAGTGACTCAAATGATAAAAAGGCACACATTTTCCATCTAAATCACACAAAATGAGGAAACCATAGATGCCTAGCAGCACACACATCACATGAATTAAGTTAGATGCTATTTGTAATTGTTTAATTTAATAATAATAATTGAATATTTGAATAATTGTTCATTTATGATACACCTTGTTAGTAGCTTGTGCCTGCGACTGTTGATCAGTTAGGCTACACTGTAAGAAAAATATCTAGAAAAATGGAAAAGGTACTAGTTATTTTCCAGGACATTATCCGTTATTCATTATCCATTGTAACCCGAAAACACAAAATGCAATGCGTAATTTAAAATGCAGGTAAAAAACCTGTGAAAAATCAATATGGAAAATTCCTTCATACTAACATAGTAGATTGTGCCCTAGTTTTATACTAACTGCTAATACACTGCTTAAAACTATAATTGTTCAGAATGTGTAGTTTTACTAGTTTACAAGCTAATAAAAATTTTTTAATTGTAATTGTTCAAAAATGTGTACGTGTTCAATGTTGTATTTAAAAATACAGTTATTTATATTTTAATATTATATTACGTTATATTAATTTATGAACAAATCTAAATCAACACAAAATATTTGTTTCCTGAGATTTGATGTAATTTTGCGTCATAATTACGTAATATGTCATTGCACGATGACATATTACGTAATTATGATGCAAAATTACATTTTGGACATAAATCACAATGCCATTTAGCAACTTTTAGCAACAAAGCAGCACTTATTCCTTTAGCAACTTCCCCTGAAAATTAGTTGGCAACACTGAGTCTGACAGCTCGTTAAGGTCTGTAAGCATTTCTTCTAACTGCAGACTATTTTGTAGAATCGTGCCAGTATGCCAGTCATTATTAGAATTATTTTTCTCTCTACTTGATCTGGAAAACAATATTTCACTAACTGTCCAGTGGGCCAGGAATCTGAACACCCAATAAGCATCATTTCGCATCCCTCTTTCACCTACCGAATCATATTCTGCATCCTCTCCGTCTTCATCCTCTTCTTCCAGGTTCTCGTACAGGCAGTCATAGCCGAGCACTCTGGCTGGATCCAGCAGCTCGTCTCCCTCGCCGTCATCCGCTCCCACAAAGAAGCGCGGGTGATCGAAGTCCTCGTGCACAGACATGCTCACCACAGACAGCTGTCAGTCACTCACAGAGTCCCAGCAGAGGTTCATATGAAGGTGAGAGCCTCCCAGGCCTCCTCCTGCTCCTCACAGCCGCTCATCTTCACCGTCTCTCTCTTGAACAACAGCTGAGTCGGGGCCAGTTTCTAATGCTTTTGAAAGAAGGCACTTACACTCACCCAGGCTGCATTTACTTGATCAAATACATAGTAAACATAGTAATGCTGTCAAATATTCTCACAATTTAAAATAACTGATTTCGATTTTAAAATGAAATGTATTCATGTAAGGACTAAGCTGACATTATTCACATACTTTTGGCTATGTAGTACATTGTCAG